TTTAGAAAAATAGTACGTGTATCTTAGACGAGGCAAATGTTGACCCGTGTCGTCATCGCTAAGAATTCTTTCATTCCGAATTTCCCACGTGGCGCAACGTTCCACAACTGATTCTCCTGTGGTGATTCTCTACCAACACTTAAGCAGCATCAAATTCAGTGCTTACCCGCCGCCTATATCGGCCCGAAGATCACACGACCGATCGGGTGCATTTATCGATCGGTCGGATAGTTCAGCCGCAATAATCAACGTGGTGCTTGCCCAGCTAATCCGAGCGAGAAACCACGCCTTGTTCACAGCCGCAAGTCTTAGACAGGTCCAGTGAACTTCGACTGTACAACAGACGTGCCTTCACTGCACGAATGAACTGAGCGTGACAAAAAGAGCATCAAAAAAGATACAAGACAATGTGAAACGACGGAGCAATCGCACTATCCCACTATCGACATTGCAACATGACATCTTAAATTGATACTCGGACATCTTTAATTCATATTGTGACATCCTAAATTGATACCCGGCTTTCTTTAATCGATTTTCGGACAATTTAAATTGAAAAAGGAATAATCTTCTTTGTTACAAACATTGATGAAGAATGAATGAAACGGCTTGTGCGAGGTGGTTTGCGCATGCTTTTAAGATCACTGGAGTTGAACTATCAAAACCGGAGGATTTATTTCCGTTGATAGCATTTAACTCCTTTAAAATATGATCTGTTCTGACAGTCAAAGGAAGGTGGAAATCAAATGATTTTGTATTTAGACTCGGTAATGCTTGCACAACATTTATCACTTATGCAAATGATTTTTTGAGCTCATTGATGTCACATGAGACTGTAGTAGGTAGAGTTGAACGACCACAGAGTAACTTCAGTCCGTTCCATAGCTAACTGCAGGATTTGCCTCCTAGAACGGTGTCAACATACAATTGATTGAGGTGGACTATCTCACTTCTGATGTGAAAGTTGACAGATTTGAGCGACAGTTTATCTCCTGAGCGATACACCTTTTTAGCCTGTGTAACCATTTCAGTCTATCAGAGATGGAGCGGTTGGGCTGTAGGTGAATCCTTTCTTGAAGGCCGCACACATCATAACAATAGTTGAGATAATTGGTAAGGTAAGGAGAAAATGTGGTTTAAATTCCACAGTAAAACAAGAAACGTTTTGTGTGCAGTGAGTGAATATGAATTTGATGGAGTTAAACCACGACCGACGCATATATGTGGTGACGCCGCCGCCTTTAGTTTTGCTTCCTGGTGGTCTATCTGCACGAAATAATTGGACGCCTTCTATTTGAGCCACTTCGTTCGAGCGCATTCTTGTACAAAGACTTTCGGAAAAGTGGCACAACTTTTGAAGTACTCTCTGTAGTGAATCAGAAGACCGATGTCCGATAGCTCAGAAAGACTTGAGCAGACATTTGACGCCAGGATAATCGGAAAACCAATGCTCTTCATATTTCGGTGCTCAAGTGCAACTTTCCAGCGAGCGCAATGTTTTCTCCGTTTACCAATAGAATTTATGGTGATATTTTTAACCTTATTTCTCAAAAAACGAGAAAAAGCTCACAGAGACGGTTTGTTACACGAATACTCGTATGAAAATTAAACTGAGCGCGTTGTAGGTGATCGATAAAGTCATCGTAATTGATGCAAAAGTATATCCAGAGGTAGTGTTTGATGAAAAAACAAAGCTCCAGCGACGGCAAAAAATGACACGACCAATTTCTAAGGCCCCGCCGAAGGCTGATAAAACGAATTCGGTCACAATCCCGGGCTTGCCACACTTCCGAAATGCAGCATTTATCATTTTCCATAATTGAATCGTGGAACGGCTTTGCTGTGAAGCTGCTCAGCTGCATGCTCACTCAATTGGGGTATTATGTAGTATACTAATCCAAGTCCCAGCGGTCAGGTTTCTGGTTTCCAAAACCAAATAATATTTTCTTAAAACTTTGGGGGATCCACTCCTACTGTTCAGCACACCAATGTGTATAATGACAGTACTAAATAATAATGACAATGGGAATAGTATTGACTGAAAACTCAAAGTGACAAACGATGTCACTTGTTCTGTGTCACATGAGCATGCGAATACAGCAGAAAACATTAGGATGATGAAACATGAGGTTAGGGAGCGAAGACACAATGAGTTGGGTCTTAATTGTTCTTCAGTTCGAATCAAAAGTCAAGTACTGCTTGTTCTGGTGCCTGAGGTCTGGTCACGTGCCAAGAAAGCCTACTGGTTAACTCAGAACCTTTTTGAGCGCACCGCGCAGGTACATGCTGTCTGCCTCGGTTGTGACCAAAAGGGTGGCATGTCACAGCTAAGGTGAACTCCAGTAATGATAAGTGGTAGCGGAATTGCAGATAGAAAATCTTTGGATACGAAAAATATAGGTAAATTGTTCACCGGTGATCATGTCATTCATTTCTGAGACACGGAAGGAAGTCTCGAGTTACTTGTCGATTGGTGGTCAGGCTCAGGAAAATGTACATTCAGTCTGAAAGAATATCCTCCAGTTTTTATGAAAAACAATTTTATCCCTCAATTAAACCTTGATGTCATTCAGAGTTACTGTTTAACGTAGGATGACTATAAGTCAAACTGTAACCCTAGCCAACCATTTTCCTAACTTCCCATCGAGCATTCATTGAATGACCAGAACACTGTGTATACCTTATTTTCATGTAATAAAACGTTGTAAGGAAAGGTCGTCTGCATTGTAAAAATGTTTTAACTGAAATTCGATTTGATATATGATGAACGGTGGGAGAATAAAAGATAAACTAAGAGTCAAAAAGCCCTTATTTACCGTACATAAAGCCAACTTTCCATTTAATTTATTGGTCCGATAGAAACAAGGGAAAAACGATCGCACAAACATTCCAAGTATGTTTGATGCGACCACACAGGGCCCCTAGATATCCTGCACGTCAATAACTGCGTTCTACTAACATTGAACTGTGTATAGGTCATTTAACGAGATAGACAAGGAAGTTTGTCTGTGCCCGCATGACCAATTGTCATAGAGGATTACAAAAATCTACTTCATTTGACGGACTGAAATTAAGTTGGATCTTGAGAATCAAACCACCGGTTGGTAGAGTGATAGAGTCGTTCGCTGGTGATCATGTTCACAAACGCTTTTGTTTGTGAGTCAGGAAATTTGCAATTCAATGATAGAACGTCATCGGTGACAAGCGGGGTCAGAATGGATTGCGTTAAAGATTTTGTATTGCACATTTGCAGAATCACATTAGGTTTCCATCTGCCATTGTTATTTGTTTTCATTCAACATGCAGCCATTTAATAAAATGCATGTGAATGCATTGGATGTTATATGACCATGAAAACATTTATTGTGAATCACATCCTGCATCAATTAGCATCGAACCCTGCAGTAAATGAGCCAACCGCTAAAATGGTGGTTGACCGTGACCATCCCGTTTCATCGCTCTTTCAACTTAATTATTTCATTCATATTTCATTCATAGTGGATGCCGAGAGTAAAATGCACGAAGTTAGTTCAGATTCCAAGAGAATTAGGAAAGACAGAAAACGAGACAATCTGTTAGTACACCTGGTATGGGAATATAAATAGTAATGCCAATAAATAACTCAAGGCAAACAGTTCGCCTCACCATTGGACGGACATGCCGATCTATCGATCGAAATTATCGAGCGAGACAAACCGGCTAATCGAAGTGGGATAAGATCCTACTTGTCATCCACAGGACAAAAAGAGCTGGTTGCCTGTTAATCAGAACGTACGCACAATTAAATATTATTGGATAATATACATAGTGCTTTTACTATCTGTCTGCAATGTAAAGAAGTTTGTAATTCACCGTTATGTGAAAGGTTTGAGTGATGCAGTAAAGTATCACGCAAACAAGTGAGTGGATTTGAACATAGAGGAGCTGGGTTGCAAAAATTGCGTTCGTGCAGCTCTTGTGTTGAAGAACCAGTCAGCCACCGCGGTTATCACTAATCATAAGAATCCTGTTTCGAAGGGGCATATGACCAGTCAACTCAAGCTGATTTATTTGTGGTGACATTCACGATGAATAAAAGTATTCACCAAGCGCGGCTGTCAGAGAAAAACCCCTTAACCAGTCTTACACAATCAGACCACGACCCTTTGTCAAGCGTTAGGGCGACATATACTTTCCCAATAACGTATTCTAGTTACCTAATGTTACGGTTTTATTAATATGTGCAAGTAATCTACTTTGCATGATGCAAACCAAAACATTTGCACGTTAAAGAGTAATTGTTGAAGCCAATCTGAAATGATTAGGTACTTTTCATAGAAGGTGATAACATGCTCACAAGACAATGTAATTGAGATAATAATATGCTTTAAGTTCAAATTACTTCACCTTCCATTGTGACACTTCCTTGAAGACTGAATATTAAGCATCTTCGTAAACTTCTTAACTTCTGCGGGATTGAAGATTCTCTGTTTTGCCCGGAAATACATTTATTTTTCTTCAGTACGACTTACTATGAACACAAGAATACAATCAATTATAATACCGAGCGGATTAAAACCAAATCTAATAAACGTAAGCGGGAAAATATTTTTCCTTGGTTAGCAATGAGCTCGGAATATGATGCACTGAAGCGCGCATGTTTTACGATAACAGACCGAGAGACGGCATGATATCTAACGGCCAATCATATTTTGCTAGTGGTTGACCAATGGCGAGCGAGAAAAATCACGCTAACCTTGAGCGGCCCATCTGACTGGCCGACTGGTACGCAAAACAACGCATATCACCCATATCGCCCATAGCGTGCGGACCTCGCCTTGTTCTCTGTTGAACTGGTGAATGTGTCGCATTACTGTCAAAACAAACTGATAGATTTGTACTTTCTATATTTGAGTACAGGGATTCCGATCATTCAAATGGTGGGGAATGAGCAATCATTGCCTATACTGTGATTTGTGTGAGCAAAGATTTTTAAAGGATTTAGTACAACATTTACCGCTATGCTTCGTTTTGTGACTGTACTGTTTTTCACATATTGCGGTATTTGGGTAGTGGATACGGAGATTCTGAAAAGCACATCCTACTCAGATATCGAAATTCAAGCGGAACGTGAACGAGAAAATAAATGGAGCCCAGCGACCCCCGCAGACTTGCGACCAGATTATCGTCCAATGGAACTCTGTGATAATCCCGCATTCAAAGATCTCAGCCAACGGTTAGTTGATCTTGTCAGAAACAACCATGCGTTTGAAAACTTTGAATGGACTACTGTCAGTGTGACTACTCTCAAATCATATCATCGGAGTTATGTTTTGATTGGTGGTTCCAGTCGTTTGACAAATCCCTCGACAGGCAAAATTTCAGTGAGCCCTCGAGATGGTGGAACTATTTACTTGTGTGAATTGGAATTACAAAACGCTGCAAGTAATCCCCTTGGTTTTGGTCCATCTCAAACCTCTTGTATAGAGCTTTCAAGAAAACAAAATGAACGAGGGTCTCATGAGTATTTGGGAGCATCCAGTAGCACATTAGCTCTGAATGGTGATACAAGTCTTTTAGCGTATTGTGATCCCCTTTGGAGAGCAAAAACCCAAGTTCCAGTAGGTCGATGTTTCCTTCAACTTTTAAGAGATGGTAAACCACGAGAAGCACTCGAGTTAAACGAGTTTTGTCAATCTGGACTGAATGTGGGCACTCCTTGTATGGCCGGTCATAGTATAGCTTTGTCTTTTGGTTCCGATCAACCAAATGCAACAACTCTTGCCCGTTTGTTGTCTGATGTCCGGCTTTGGGTTGGCGAACCTCTTTCACTACCCACTGGACAAGTGCAGTTGATCAAGGACCCATATGGAACCGCTCGTGTGACCACAATACGGAGACCGGATATTGCCGGTTCGCTGGATATTGGAGCATACTTTGGCTACTCTGTGATTGATGGGTATGCCAGCGCCCCGGGTTTTCCTCACGAAGTTGATGAGAACGTGGATGAACTTTCACAAGTTGTTGGATTTCAAACAGCCGATACTGGCACCAGTTCCCGTGAAACTTTTGGGTCCGTAGACTGGTTGGGAGGAATCGAACTGGATCAGATATTTTCCGGGTTTGGTTCAACTATCCTCCGAATTCCCATTAACGGTTCATTGCAAACCGGTCTGGTAGTTGGAGCTCCATATGCCGATTCTGAAATCTTCAAAGAAGCCTCCGTTACTCAAAAGCAAGCCAATCGAGGTCGCATTTATTTGTTTTGCCATGCTGATGCTCGCTTCAGAACACCGCTGGAAATATATAAACAGCAGCTTTACGATGATATGATTGAGGGTCCGGTGGAAAGCACATTTTTCGGTTTCTCTCTATCTCGCCTGGGAGATTTGGACAGAAATGGAACGGAATATATTGCAGTAGGCGCACCGGATTTGGAAAAGCGTACCGGACAAAGCTTTGTCTATGTGATTCGAATCTTGCCTCAATGTCGATTTGATTCTATCCCATTTTATATCCTGAGAGGGCCAACAGACGCACACGATTTCGGTGCCAGACTTCCTCTCAAGGCGGATGATATGGATTACAATGGTTTGCCCGATCTCACCATTCCCGTTTCAAAGAGTTCAGATGGAACACCTGCATTACAGCTGTTCGCCAGTAGACCCCGGGTAGAAGCAGAATGTTTGTTTACGTTTCCCCCCTGGTTGGCTATCAGGCGAATATTTGCGGGGGATACTATACCTATCCAGATTTCGGTTTATTTGCGTACCCAACAACAAAGATCCGAGGGGTTTGACCCAATTGCACACATTGTGAAAGACGAGGAAGATAACCGTTTGGTGCATCAAGTGATCACTGACTGGAAGGCCAATTCTACGGCTAGTGAGCGATTTAAGCTGTTTGGAGATATTGTTAGCCAGTACGATACAGCTCAAAAGAAACTGCTGGTGGAATTCGATCTGATTGCTGAACAGGATGTGATTGATATGACTGAAATTGAAACACCAGAGAATGCGCTGTATGTCGCTTATCGGTTTTTACAGCCATGCTACGGTCATGATAGAGTGGTTGATGAAAATGGGACATGCGCTCAGAGTGGTTGGCTGAAACGTCCTATAATCTCTTGGTCTAAATGTTTGGCTCATGTTCCGTTATCCCGGTATATTTGCTATCCACGACCCAGTTGTGAAGCTGATGTCTCACTTCAGATAACTGATCTACAATCGAATGTCACAATATCCCGTTTCAACGATAGTTTGGTTCAGTCCGAGAATGAAACGAACGAAACGGATCGAGTACTATTCACAACAACAGACCTTTTATTAGGTGACCAGGAAAGTTCGAGGCCGGAACTGCTAATTGAATTATATANGTTTGCGCTTGGAATTTCAGTTTCACGGGAATTTACGTTTCTACCGTCTTGAAGCGTTGGAAGATAATGCAATCCTTCCAACCCAGGTATCAGAAAATGAAACGTGGGCAACCTATTTCGTCGGTACAATGCCACCTCCAACGCTGACTGAGGAACCGGACGCAATTGAGGAAGAGATTCCCACTGTTAAAAAATGGAAACTATCGACGTATTACCCGAATTTTACCATGATAGATGAGACCAACTTCTCTTTGGGTGCTGGAGTAACGGTTCGGGTGTCTTCAGGCACCCAGGATCCTCAGTCTTTGGGTAATACTCTTCGTTTTGACTATCGCGTGATAAATGCACCCAAGATACGGATCTCATATGGGCCTAAATCCGTGTCCAGTCGAATGGATAATCGGACCCGTCCTTCGTCCGGTCTTATAGGTCACTCGAGACGTGTAGACGTATCTGAACTAGGCCCTCGTGTGGAGCATGTGATTCAGGTTGAGTATACTGGACCGACTCAGAAATTACAGAACGTCACATTCCGTCTGACTGTGCCATTCCAGTTAGCTCCGGCCGATCAACAAGGTGGTTCTGAAAACTATTTGGTCTATATTTTCGGTGAGATTCGTGCGGCAATGGAGGGGTCCGGTACACTACAGTGGATCGACCTGTGGCCCAAAGTCACATCCTCCGATGATTCCAGACACACTGTGACCAGCTTGGGTAGCTGTTCCATTATGGATGCGGAAAACACGGTTAATCCAATGCGAATGGTTGGAATGGATATTACCAAGGGTAAGTGGGATTTGACGATTATCTTTGATCGCTTTCTAATGATTGTCGTCACTGATACATTATTATGTCCCCGTTGAATTTCATCAAGTAGCTACTGGTTTCTTTTTTTGTCGAATCAGTGTGCAAGTTCTTATTGGTAACTAAAACGGCTTGAAAAACAGAATGGCGCTCCGTCGAAAAAAATAATTTTTAATTATCTTTTTACACTGAAGTACCATGATGCTTTTCTACAAGCTGAACCAAAACGTTTTTTGCATCTTGGATTTGAAGCAAGCAGTCGCTTTTTAAAAATGTTATCCTAACCAATGGTGCAGATATGTCGCACCGTCAGGCAACTGATAAAATTTTAAGCATTTTGCTGACGTCAAGGCAATGAAGAAAACGCAGAAAAAATGTCAATTCATTTCCGGACCTCGCCATCCTGATGGAATTGACCCGGTTCTGATGAAGTGCGCAATAAGGAATCAACAGATTAATCTGCTGAATTAAATCTGAACAGATCGGGAGATTTAATTGCTAAAGGTGGCTTTTAATGACAATCAAAGTTGGTAAACTACTTCCTGAATCTGACAGTCGTAAATGTTTTGGTACTTTATTAACTCCAACCGCTAGCATCGTGTCCTTTTCAAAACATCTTGAATGAACATCCAAAGGGGATACAGTTGTACCCACGTTTTCATTGACTATTTAGTCCACCAGATTTTCCAGTACTACTTACCGAGGTTTTGGGTAATGTTTTCAGTTATTTTCGATTCCTGCTCTCACAGGTAGCATCTGGAAACGGGATTAATTTTAAAATTTGTTCCAGTTATAAGGACTTTATTTTGCAGGCACACATGTGAACACTGGAAGGGGTTACATCAAACACATGTTGACTGATTTCCCACATTGTTCACTGGTTCGGTCGATCGATCGGTTCTCCGGATTCAGATCGGAGGTTAAACTGGCTGAAAAGTACCGTATCATGTGGCCCTATTTCATACATTTTTATCTTCAAAAAGAAGAATCCCTGATTGCATAGGTCACAGAACACAGGGTGTCATCAAATCTGTTGCTGTATTCTATAGTTTTATAAACACAATATTGAATGAGTCCGAAAGAATCCTGATCCCATAATCAATTTGGTGATTAAATAGCTGTAGACACCAATAGATCCTGTCTGTCTGTACTGAGATCATTTTCGTTCCCAACTCTGTGCCCTAACAGTATCGCAGTGTCACCTGGTGTTTGTACGTAGTCCACTGCTCACAGCCATCTCGGATAACCCATGTGATCAACTCTTTGAATTTGAAATCCCTCATGACCAGTTTCCAATCTCACGAGATTTCGTGAATACACGTGGCTGGTAATAATTCCTAACAAAGACAAAAAGATTGCTCA